TGCGGGATCGGGCAGTGTTTCGTTCTGCTGTGCATGGGGTCGCTATGAGTCGGAAACGACTCGACGGTACTTAACAACAACAACAACAACAACATTTACTGAGTGCTTACTGTGTGAAGGATACTTTTTGGAAACATTTCATATGGAATAACTCATTTATGTACAAAATCTCTGGAAAGTACAGACATACATTGGAGATATTGAGAGGTCAGGTCCGGACCACCATAATAAAGCAAGTATCGCAATAAAGTGAGTCCCGTGAATTTTTTAGTTTCCCAGTGCATATAAAAGTTATATTTACACTATTATGTAGTCCCTTAAATGTGCAATAGAATTATGAAAATTTGAGATATTGTAAAAATTACCACAATGTGACACAGAGATATGAAGTGAGCACATGCTATTAGAAAATGCCTTGATGCAGGGTTGCTACAAAACTTCAGTTTGTAAAAATGCAGTATCTGTGAAGAACAGTAAAATGAGGTCTGCCTGTACCCAAGGATAAATACCAAACCCCTGTCAACAGGGTCAAATACTGACAAATCTACCTTGGCTGAGAGTTAACTTAGGTAACGATTTGATATAACAGAGGTTTTAAAAGTTATCCAATCACCTTTCTTTCTCATTGGTGCTTCACTATACCCCATATGAACCAGGAAAGTCAGGTTTCATTGTCTTTCTTTTTATAACAGATGAGAAAACTGAGGCTCAGACACACTGTGATTTGTCCAAGTTCATACAGTTCATGAAGGAGACAGAATTTGAACCAAGATGTTACAACTCTCTGGCCAAAAGTCACTCCATACATCACACTGCTTCTCTAAACATGTTGACTATTAGACAGAGGTTCTCTTCATTATGACATCTCTGCCTCCCTCAAGGTATCTACTGAGGATCAAACAATATCCTACAAAGGAAATAAATTTTGACTTTAAAATAGACATGTGCTGTATGAGAGATCCACAGCACCTAATTTCTGAGGTTCCTCTTTGTCAAACTCACCTCAGGGGCACCTAAGGTGTGAGGATTAAGAATCTGAGTTGTCATGAGAATTAAACAATGTGAGGCACATAGTGAGTGCTTGGGAAATGGTGGTAAATGTTATGGCTCATTGAGTAATTCACTCAGCAATTATTGAGCATCTGTGGTGTGTCATGTGCTATTCTAGGCACTAGGGATACACCAGTGAACAAAATAGACAGACATCTGCCCCCTGATCAATTTTATGACCAAAGTGGGTCACTATGAGTTGGAATTGACTTGATGGCAGTGAGTTTGGTTTTGGTTTGGTGTTAAGTGAAAACCTCTGTGAGATGGGCTGCTGGGTAGCCAGCTAGGTCCAGTCACTAGCTAAGTGATTTATTTTCACATGCCATCCTAGCATTTCACTTGATTCAAATTTATCCCACCATAACATGACAAATCAGGGACCTTAGGGAATTTTTAAAATAGTCAAAACCACAAACACTAAATCTGGCAACTTTTTGATTGGCTCTTGTACCTTGCTGTATGTGGTCATGGCTGAGTTCTTTTGAACAGTTCAAATGAATTGTTTACAAAGGTGCTTCTTGGGTACTATCTCATTAAGGTTGTTTGGCTTCAATATAGTACACAAAACATTGTTCTAGATCCTACTTTGGTGAGTAGTGACTGGGGTTTTAAAAGCTTGTGAGAGGCCATCTTAGATGCAACCATAGGTCTTACCTCATCTGGAGCAAAGAAGAGTGAAGAAAATCACATGGAAACAATTAGTCCAAAGGACTAATGGGCCATGAGAACCTCACCTGAGGCCAGAAGAACTAGATAGGGCCCAGCTACCAATGCCAACCACTTGGAAAGGGATCAAAATTGGAGATCCTGGATAAAGTGGGAGAAAATGTGGAAAAATCATTTAAAAAAGACCAGGCTTACTGGCCTGATCGAGACTGATGAAATGGCTGAGAGTACTGCTCCTAGTCACCCTTTGGGCCTTGAATTTGACTCATTCTCATGGCTTAACTCTCAGCCAAACAATAGACAGGTCTATGAGCTGAACTACACCAGGGAGGTGCACTTCTGAGAACAAACAACCATGGGGATCAGAAGGGCAGCATTTGAACAGGGAGAAAACTAGGGTGGCAGGAAAGCATAGGTAAGGACACAGAGGAGGAGGAAGCACAAGGAGGAAGTAGGAGGAGACCTGTTACATTGTAGGCATTGTAATCAGTGCCACAAAGCAAAATGTACATGAACTGTTGAATGTAAAACAAATCTGCTTTGTAAAATCTCACCCAAAACACAACACAAAGTTTAAAAAAGGGACAAGGGGGTGGGTTTCCTGGCTTGACCATGCTGTCTGCCTCTGACTCTTCAGTCTGTCATGAAGGGAAAGAGAAATCCTTGAAGTTGTGAAGCAAAGAAATATCTAAGCTGCTCTCTCTCTCAGTGAGCTAAAAGCCAGAGCTTGAAATCTTGAATGTTTAAAACTGGAGCTCATTGGAATTCACCAAAACCTGGATGAATTCCCCAGAGACCTGCAGAAGCCTAATAGTCCTATTTGTTCCAGAGCAGGGGATACCACACAAATTCATTCCACCTGCCTATTCACATTAGTGTCATTTTCTGGCTTGAGAGGTTAGACAGGACAGGGATTACTCACTTGCTGGCAATGGGTCGCTCACCCCAGGGCAAGGCACTTCTTTAATCCTGAAGGTTTTTCAGAGCACTTTATTCTCTGCATGTTGTTGGTCAGGTCATTTGCTATGATTGACCTTTTGCAGTTTTGATGAAAGATTTTCAGTTTAATTTTCTGATTCATTCATTCAGCAAGTGTTTATTGCCTACTACGGGGAATCCATAAGGAGCTCTAGTGGTGCACTGGTTAAAAGCATTTGGCTGGTAACCAAAAGCAGGCAGTTTGAACCCACCAGCCACTCTGTGTCAGAAAGATGAGGTAGTCTGCTTCTATAAAGATTTACAGCTTTGGAAAACCTATGGGACAGTTCTACTGTGTTTTGTAGGGTTGCTATGAGTCAGAACCAACTCAATGGCAGTGGGAAGTGGAATCCATTCCTGGTGCAAACATTCAGCTGCTAATCAAAAGGTTGGAGATTCAATCCAGAGGCACTTCAGGAAAAAGGCCTGGTGACCTTCTTCCAGAAGAAGCCACTGAGCACAGTCCCACTCTGACACACATGTGGTCACCATGAGTCAGAGGTGACTTGGTGGTAACTGGTTGGTTTGGTCTGAAGTGCCAAGCAAGGTTCTAAGTGCATAAAATGTGCTGTGATGGAGTTTATATTCCAGCAAGTAAGTTTAGACAATATGCAAACAAAGAAATCATTCACTCACTCACTGACTGCCCTTGAGTCAGATCCGACTCACAGTGACTCCTCCTTGGGTTTCCGAGGCAGTATCATTATGGAAGTAGATTGCCCAGCCTTCCTTCTGAGGGGGTGGCTGGTGGGTTTGAACTGCCAGCCTTCTGGTTAGCAGTCAAATGCCTTAGGCACTACTATGCTAGAGTGTTACACAGAGAATTAAAATTCAAGCAGTCCTCGACTTATGACATATATGAATTAATATGAACTGTACTTAAACAGTTAAACACTGTTTTAATTTTTTTGTACATTTTATCATTAGTAATATGTACTACAAAGAATGTTGCAGTGTGTAATTCACTGATGTTATCATTATCTATAAATTTATATGTAATGTTTCCAAGCCCGGAAGGACGGTTGGGCAATCTACTCCTGTAGTGATACTGTCTCAGAAACCCAAGGAGGGGTCGCTATGAGTCAGATCCGACTCGACAGCAGAAAGTTTGGTTTTTGGTTTGGTTTCCAAGCCCCAAAGACAAATAAAGATTGAACTTATAAAGATACTGATAATAAACGGCAATACTGATAATAAACAGCAATAATAATGAAAACCAAGAAAATGAAAGAGTTATTTGACATACATCTGAACCAACTTATGGCAGAGTCATCAGAACAGAACCCTGTGATAAGCCCAGGACTACCTGTATATTGATTCGACTGGTAAAGACAGGGTGGTTATCGATCAGGAAGGTGACCTGAATGTCACCTTTGTGTCTGAAAAGATGACATTTAAGCTGAAACCTGAGAAGGAGGCGGTGGCTATGCAAAGTGTGGGGGAAGCATCCAGACAGAGGGAGGAGCTAGTGCAGACCAAGATGGGGTGTGTTAGGGAGAAAAAGATGGGAGAAGCTGAAGCAGTGGAAGGGGAGGTGACCTGAGACGGCTCAGATGGGAGGCAGGTACCTCAGGGCCAGGGCAGGGAAAGAGGGTGATGGGAAAGCACTGGAGGTGGGGGAACTAAGCAGGAGATAAAATAATCTGAAAGTCTCTGGGTGGCCCAAATGGTTTGTACTTGACAACTAACTGAAAAGTTGGCAGTTACAACCCATCTACTGGCTCCAGAGAAGAAAGGCCTGGTGATCAACTTCTGTAAAGATTACAGCCAAGAAAATCCTACTGTAACACATGGTGTGGCCATGAGTTGGAATTGACTGGATGGGTTTGGTTTTTGGAATATAATCTAATTAATATTTAAAACACTTCATTCTGGCTACTATTATAATATGACAGAAGGGGAGAGGAGACCAATAGGAGGCTTCTGATTTTGTCAAGGTGAAAGTGATGGGGGCTTGGACTGAGGGATAGTAGTGGGGATGGAGAGATATAGATATGACTCAGGGTATACTTTGGAAGTAGAGTTGATAAGACTTTGCTGGTGGATTAGATGTGGAGATATGGGGAAGCTTATAAGATAAATAGAAAGTTTTTTTAGAGAGAATAACTCAACATTTTGGTATTTTTTACCCCAGCCTTTTTTCAGAGCTCTGGTAGCATAGTGGCTAAGGCACTTGACTGCTCACCAGATGGCTGGCGGTTCAAACCCATCAGCCATTCCTCGGAAGGAAGGTTGGGCAATCCTACTTCTGTAGTGATACTGCCTCGGAAACCCAAGGAGGGGTTGCTATGAGTCAGGGCTGACTCGATGGCACATAACAACAACAACAAACATACATATGTATTTTCACAAAATTGGAATCTGGCTGTAGTTTTATATCATGCTTTTAAATTTACCATTCTTTTGTGAATACTTCCAAAAGTCATAATTTTTAATGGCTGCATAATCTACCATCATATACGGCATATCATAATTTCTTTAACCAATCACTGCTTGACATTTGGTCTGCTTCCAATATTTCTGCTATTATAAGCAAGGTTACAGTAAACAGCCCCGTACATAAATCTTTAGGTGATCTCTGATTTTTATCTTTGTGATAAATTGTGTGAAGTGGAATTATTGAATCAAAGGCATTTTAAAAAATAGACTTGATAGATGGTTGCTGTTTTTAGGTGCTGTCAAGTTGGTTCTGACTCATAGCGACCTTATACATAACAGAACAAAACACGGCCCAATCCTGCATCATCCTTACAATTTTTGCTATGCTTGAGCCCATTTTTGCAGCCACTGTCAATCCATCTTCCTCTTTTTCACTGACCCTCTACTTTACCAAGCATGATATCCTTCTCCAGAGACTAGTCCTTCCTGACAACATGCCCAAAGTACTAGAGGTGAAGTCTTGCCATCCTTGCTTCTAAGGAGCATTCTGGCTATAACTCATCCAAGACAGATTTGTTTTTCTTCTGGCAGTCCATGATGTATTCAATGCCAACACCACAATTCAAATGCATCAATTTTTCTTTCGTCTTCTTTATTCATTGTCCAGCTGTTACAAGCATATGAGGCAACTGAAAATACCACAGCTCAGGTCAGGTGCACATTAGTCTTCAAAGTGACATCTCCACACTTTAATACTTCAAAAAGAGGGTTTTTGCAGCAGATTTGCCTAATGCAATATGCCATTTGATTTCTTCCTTTAATGGGCATTGATTGTGGATCCAAGTAAAATGAAATCCATGACAACGTCAATCGTTTCTCTATATCGTGATGTTGCTTTTTGGTCCTGCTTTGAGGATTTTGTTTTCTTTCTGTTGAGGAGTAATCCATACTGAAGGTTGTGTTGTTGTTGTTAGGTGTTGTGGAGTCGGCTCCAACTCTTAGCAACCCTAGGTACAAACAGAACAAAACACCACCTGATCCTGTTCCATCCTCACAATCCCTGCCATGCTTGAGCTCACTGTTATAGCCACAGTGTCAGTCCATCTCATTGAGGGTCTTCCTTTTTTTGCTGACCCTCTACTTTACCAAACATGATATCCATCTCCAGGGACTGGTCCCTCTGACCACATGAGCAAAGTAGATGAGAAGAAGTCTGGTCATTCTTGGTTCTAAGGAACATTCTGATTGCACTTCTTCCAGGACAGACTGGTTCATTCTTCTGGCAGTCCATGGTAATTTCATCTTTGATATTCATCAGTAAGTGTTTTAAATCCTCTTGACTTTCAGTAAGCCAGGCTGCGTCATCTGCATATGGTAATTGTTAGTTAATGAGTCTCCCTCCCTTGATGCTGCATTCTTCTTCAGTTTCTTGGATTATTTGCTCAGAATACAGATTGAATAAGTATGGTGAAAGGATACAACCTTGGCACACACCTTTCCTGATTTTAAACCATGCAGTATTCCCTTGTTCTATTCAAATGATAGCCTCTTCATCTATGTACAGGCTCCCTATGAGCACAATTAAGTGTTCAGGAATTCCCATTCTTTGCAATGTTATCCATAATTTGTTATGATCCACAGAGTCAAAAATGCTTTTGGATAGTCAATAAAACACAGGTAAACATCTTTCTGATATTCTTTGCTTTCAGCCAAGATCCATCTGACATCAGCAATGATATTCCTGTTCCCATGTCCTCTTCTGAATCTGGCTTGAATTTCTGGCTGTTCCCTGTTGACATAGTGATGCAAACATTTTTGAATTATCTTCACCAAAATTTTACTAGCATATGATATTAATGACATGGCTTGATAATTTTCATATTTTTTTGGGTCACTTTTCTTTGGGATGCATCAAATAGTAATCTCT